TCCTTAGGAGATAAGAATTGCTACAAATAAAGGGGATGATTATCCTAATCCTATAATGATTAGGATATCTACAACATATGGATAAATACAAGGGAGGATAATGACAAGTCTTGGCCGCCTAGTCTTGGGACTGAAGTAGACTGATGTGGTCTGGTCCATTTCCGGATATGTCCCAACCACCATCTTCATTTCTTAACACCTACCTCTTTTTTTTTCTTTTTTTAAAATGTATTAAGAAGATTTCAATAATTAATCATCAAAAGTTTGCTTACGTGTCTGAGGACATTGTATATTAAATAATTTTGTGGATAGCTAAAACAACAACAAAGAGTTGGATAAGGATGTTAACTAGATAGACTTATTAGCCAAAATTTAAAAATAATTTGACAACTAAATTGTTTGGACATGGCAGTTTAATTTAGGCTTTTTACTAATTCAAAGTATCATAAGTTAGTCTAAAGAGTAAAGGTAAAAAGTCGCCTTGGCCACCTTCCCGACTATAATCGTGTGTGCTCGGATGGAATGCCTCGTGGAGATTAGCTTGTGTTTTCCGCCTGGAATTCTCCACGGTTATCAAAAAAAAAAAGTCTATGGAAATTTGTCCAGAAAAAAAAAGTCTATGGAACTTGCAAAAGAGTTTTAGTTTTAAAAGAGACTAGACCATGACCCGCCCGACCGGGCGGGTGTTCTGTTTTCTTTTAATTTTTAAGTTTATACTAAATGATGTAAAATAAAAAATGAAGTATCAATTAAATGGTTACAAATTACTTATGGGTTTAATTTTGATAGAAGAATACCGAAAAGTTTGATGTTTGATCCGCGCAAGTGTTTGTTTTTATATATTTTATAAGTGATAATATATATTTCTAAATTTACCCGTTTAAATAATTGTTTAAAATGAAATTTTAAATACACAAGTTTATAGTTTATATCGAGTAATTTTATTTTATCTTATAAACTATCATTGTGTCATACTTATTTTTAAAATATGATCCATATATCTGCACAAATGTTTTTATTTTATTTTTATGGATCAAAATTTTATGATAATGTATAACTAAATTATTTTATTTACTATTTAAAATATATGGTCCTATATATTTATACTTTTTAACTTTTATTATTCTGAATTTACCTTGAACTATTATTTATATAAAAATATACATAACATGATATGTTTATATTAATCTTTTTATTATATATTATATAAATGTTTCTTTATGTGACTTTTATTTTAGTTGTTACTTATAAATAATAAAAATATAATTATATATCTTTGAAAAAATATTGTTCATTAACTATTTAAAGATATGTAAATAATTAATAAGAAAAAAATCTTAAAAGGTAGGTTAATTAATATTGGAATTAATTATTATGTATATGGAATTAGTAAAACAATTTATATATAATTTATTTATTTAATTACGAAAGGTATATATAAAAATAATTATTTTCATTAATTATTGTTGCCATAATTTTTTTTAGTTAAAATTTGATTTTGGAAATGCATTAATTAAAGTGAAAAGACAAAGAATTCTATAAGGTAGGTTAATTAATAACTTTAGTGGCATAACATTGTAAATAATTAGAAAAACTCAGAGATATTTTATATAGGTACTTCTCTTTTAATAATATAGATGTCCACATAATTCAAATATCTGAAAGTTTCGAGGTTTCTCAATGACAAATAAATAAATGTAGGGATGAAAATTGACAATTCTAGAAAATGGGTAAAATATAAAAGAGATAGTACTAACAACTAAATCCACCATTGATGGGTAGCCATGTGTCATGCATTAATGTAAGATGTAAATCGGACGGCTGACGTTATAGATCAACGTTCAGAAAATAGAAGGACGAATTTAGACATAAAGAAAGAGTGATATCAAGCAATAAGATAGCAACACGTGTAAATATAACGTGGGAGTTAGTCTAGCGTAGGACCCAAAAACGTGTACTGATTGGCGTAAAAGACGTGAAGTCGGTGGCGTGGGTCCACCTGACTTATTAACTGATGCCACGTTGGAATAAGCTTGTTGCATAGGCATGATGAATTTTGAGAAAATTAATAACGTTTACTCTTTCTTATTAAAAACAGTTACGTGTTCACAGTTTTCCATATTAGCGTTACAAACCAGAAAAATTACGTGTTTCCTATTTTCTTTTGATCTTTTGGTAAAGGATTTGTAGTTCCTAATCACACTTGGCATCAACCAGTTTAGGAAGTTGTGTTTACAACGTGAATAACGTTTCGTAATCTCATTTATGAGCAAGGTTATGTGTGTTTTCCAACTCAGACGATATGCTTTATGGCGTTTCTAACGATAAGCTTAAAAGTAGATGATGAGCATAAGAGGAAACAAATGAGCATACTATTACTTTGGATTTCTTAAGATAGTGAGTTATTTTAACGAGTGGAATGTCATTTTCGACATATTTGATAAACATATTTAAAAATATCAGAGAGGGCAGATGGTAATCAGGAGTGCATCTTCTTTTTAAATTGGCCTAAAATAACAGTGAACCGTGTTCCATTATTATTAAAGGATGAACACGACGTGTCACATCGCTTTACCCGCTCCCCTATACTTTGAATCAAAGACGTTTCGCGAACCGTGACATACCAACACATATATCAAACAAACAAACCCATCTTTTTCAATTCGTAATTGCTCGTCGTCTTTCACTGTCATTGTTGGATAATGTTTTCGGTGATTGCAAAACAATATCTTGTAGCCGACATTCTCGTGATAATACGTAGCTTATCTCGTAATATATGTATAGATATAAGATAAATTGGAGTAAAATTCGAAAATATTATAAAAGAGCTCAAGTGCTTAATCGCATAATGTTTGTGCTAATCTTTTAACTTTTCACCGCTCGTCTGCGTGTTTGTGGACATGATATTTAGCCTGCTTTTTGTTGTCAAATCAAGGAATATTCAACTATGTTTATCAATCACTTTACCTGGTGGGACATGAGAATCACTCAATGCATTGCTAATTCTTTTAAGACTTGTTTATTAAAAAAAAAAACACTTTCCTAATATGTCCATGACACCACCTCACCAGCTTACTACTATGGGCCCAGAAGTAGAGCCTTAACGATTACAATTCAATCGGCCCAACACAATATGGGCCTGTGAGCTAGCGTCGGATCTATGACCCGACCCAAAAATTCTTTTCCACATCGAGAGGGAGAGAGAAAGAGAGAGAGTCCACGCCAACGTTTGCCGAGACCCAACGAATCGAACATCGTCCCGTCGTCGCTGTGGATTTCTCCGACGCTTCTTAAGGGTGCAAAAGCTTCTAGAAAGAAAGGTCTCTGTTAGCGAGGGGAAGCGATGATAACGAGATCGAATTTAGCGGAACAGCTAAGGGAATATCAGATTAGGTCAAAGCATGATTGGGCCTCCGTATCCTTCTTCTCCTCCACCTCCAATTTCTCCTCTTCCAGGTCAGATAACTATTTCAAATCTCCCGATCTGATGTGAGATTTGGAGTTGCGTGGTATTCAAATTCAATTGGAATCGTAAAAGATGCTCTCGTAGATAATAAGAATCTTTGGTATGCCATAGTCGAATTTGAGTTCTTAGCTAGAGAATGAAGATGTTTTACGCACAATCTTATTTAGTTTGATTTTGGCGTTGATGCAGGGTCGATGTGGTAGTGTTTGTGATTTGGGAGCTAGTGATCTTAGCATTCCTTGTCTTCTCAGCTGTCTCCTTGTACTTCAAGCGGTTGCAACTCGCATTCATCTTGCTTTCTGTTACTTTACTCTTACTCCTCTCTATGAAAATCACTAAGCAAGTCAGAGTTGCTAGGAAGAAGAAGCGGAGGATGCTTCTTCCTCTCTCTATGTAAAAGGATCAGCAAACTTTGTTATTCCTTCTTACACAATCAAAAAAACCCAAACTCTCCCCTGGCAATGAACCCGTAAAGCATCGATGAAGCTCAGACTTTGTCTCTGGTACGCATCGTTTCTGTCCTTTTGAAGAATAGACTTGACCTGAGAATTAGGTAACTAGCAGAAGGATGGGTGCAATTTCAGGGCTTAGTTTAGACAAAACAGAACTGTCTACGTTATCAGTGTTTTTTTTCTTTTTTGTGATTATAACACGTTATATCAGTTGTGTAGTTAATTTTGATTTTGTTGGCTGTTGAAGTTCAAAAAAGAATCGTTTGTAGGATTTCATGTGACTAGAAAAAAAGAGAAAGCAGAGAACACTCATGAAAGTTAAAGACAGAGCTACGTAGAAAATGAAAGTACCAAGCAACTTGCTCTAAAAAGCTCACATGTTTCTTTCACCACCACTAACATCTTTTCTTTACCATTTGCAACCACTAGAGTATTCTTTTTCCTTGTTAAGAAAGTGTGGTCAAATATCTTGTATTATACATAAGTGTTACGGTCTGTTAATACACTAGATTTGGAAAATCTCTAGATATATGTGGAAGATCTGTACGTAAATCCACGAGTGCCGTGATTTAAAACGTGGAGGAAAGTTGTAAAGAATTGAATAAACACGAACACCCTTTTCCCTCCACACATACAATGGTTATATATATAGGCACTTACGGTTGCTTTGAAAGACAATCACAACGAAAAAAGTATATCAGAGCAGAAGTAAATCAACGAAAAACTCATAATGAAGAAGTTGTATTCTAAGGGGATGAGACTCTCTGAGTTGATGGAGAAATGGAGAAAGAGGAAGAAAGGGCACTTCACTGTTTACACGAGAGAAGGGAAGAGATTCGTTTTGCCATTGGATTATCTCAACCATCCGATCTTACAAGTGTTACTGGAGATGTCTGAGGATGAGTTTGGGTCTACCGTTGATGGTCCTTTAAAGATTCCTTGCGATGGGAGTTTAATGGATCACGTCATCATGCTTGTGAGGAGAAGTATGTCTAATAACTATGATGATGATGATAAGGAGAAGAAGTCAGAGGTTTGTTCCACGACTACCTGCAAGGGAGCTTCAGTGTCTTCTCTAATACCTCTCTTTCGTGGACAGAGCCAGCTTCGGTCCTTAGTTTCCTAATAATTTGTTGTTATGATGGAGTCGAAGGGGGGTTGTTCTTGTTTGTGTGAAAACAATACCTTGTAATTAGTTTCTCATAACTGATCAATATATATTTTCAACAATGATCTATTAATCTATCTTAAATTTAGTTTATGATAATTATTAATTATCTGTTGTATGAGAATTAAGGTATTTGCACTATATGAAATTCATGTGTAATGGTTATTAATTTTATTTATGAGAATTATTAATTATCTGTTGCATGAGGATTAGAATATTTGCACTACGAAATTCATGTGTAATGGTTATACTTTAACCATATCTAAGTTTTTTTTTTGAATATAAAATAATTGTTGTTCAATCGATTTTTAATACATTTGAAACTTTTTAATGTAGTAGTGGTAGCCTAGTGACACTAGTTGATAAATATTTCAAATTCAGATCAAACAATGTGGTACGCTTTCAAATTGGTTCATTCTGTATCCCTAAGTATTTTTCTCTCGGAGCCAAACGGATCAACTGATATGATTTATCAAAAAAAAAAAATCAAGTGGAAAATTATTAATAACCAAATATATATTATTAATAAAATATTAATCAAATGGGCTGCCACAAATTAATTGATGCAATCTCACATAGGTCTGGGCAAAGTTATAGAAGCTTAGCTAAGCAAAATGTGTTGTGGCAGGTGATAAGTTTTCAATCTAAACTTCTTATAACTACTAGCACATGAATTGGGCCTAGTCATTTAACTAGGCCTTTCTCACAAATGGGCCTAATCCCTTAAGTTGAGGCCCTGCATAAGGACACGAATCGAAAAGTCGCGAGTGACCTGCTTGAATTGAATCTCAGGTAAGATTGTGAAATCGGAGAGAGAGTCTGCGAATCGGGGAATCTAGGATTTGGAGAAGAGAAAATGGGTGGCGGAGGTATAACATACAAGGGAGTCACTGTACACACTCCCAAGACGTGGCACACCGTTGCCGGAAAGGGCTTGTGCGGCGTTATGTGGTACCATTTCTCTTCCTCTCCGTCGCTTTTGTAGCTTAGATCTTTACCACTCCTCCATCGAAGCTAGATCTTATCATTAGATTATTGGTTAATTGATCATCACTACCAATCCGTACCTAGAATCCGATTGATTTGTCTGTTTCAGATTGTTGATTTTTTTTTTTTTTTTTGACAATTGATGTCTTAATTAGTATCATAGAGACAATCAGACAGCTGTTGATTTGTATTTGTTTATGTCTCCGGTCGGAACCAATGTCGATTTCATTTTAATTTTTTTTTTGTTGTTATTTTTTTGTTTTTCAGGTTTTGGATTCTGTACAGAGCAAAGCAAGATGGTCCTGTAGTCATGGTAAGATTGTCTTTCCCTTTTATACTTTCCTCACTTTTTGTTAATTTTCGAGCTTTTATATTTGAACTGTGCCATTTTTTTTCTAAATTTGATCTTTGCTATATGGCAATTGATAGGGATGGAGACACCCTTGGGATGGCCATGGTGATCATGGTCACGGAGATCATCACTAGGTAATGCATTACGCACCTTCTACTCGAAAATCATTAAAGTTCTTACAAATAAAGATTGTAAAAGTTCTTATCAACAAAACACTCGTGATTCTTTTTTTACGGTGATCCTAAGTAATAAGACAGCAGTTCGTTTATGTCTAAGCATATTGTTGATTTAGCAATATTAAGTTGTCACTTGCTAACGAGATCTTTCTTGTTAAAAAGAATGGTGTGTAGTTGGTCTTGAATAAAGTTTTTAGCTTTGATCCACACTTTACTTCATATTAATGGTGAAATTTTAGAGGATTTTTAACTTTTCTGAATCTGAAGGATGTTCTTGATTTTAAACTCTAGTGAATCATTAACCCTCTTAGAAGTCGAGTGAATGAGAATGAAGTGCCTTTATCTTGAAAATAGTTTAGTCGCACATATTTTGCTGTTTCTCTGTGTTGAGACACATCATTAGCTTCGAGTGAGCTAAACAGTGGCTGAGCTCTATCCCTCTATTATCCTTGAACTCATCTTTCATGCAAACCTGGCTGTAATCTTGATGAACACTGCTCGTATTACTTGATACTTATCTTGTTTTTGGTTGTTATTCTGCTAGGTCTCATCGTACCTTTGAAGATCATGGCGAAAAAAGTATGTTTCTTTCTTTTCTTTTCAGCTTCATATGTCCAAATAAGAACAACTGTGAAAGAAAACGTCAATTGTGTTTGTACACAACTTTGTAAGACTTGTTGCTTTTATTTTAAGCTGTTACTTGGATTGCACGTCCTTGTTGTTTTCTTCTATCTACACATGAATTTAAACATTTATGTTTTATCATTTTTACATAGCCATGGGTGCAAAATGAATGATAAACATCAATAAAGTGAACTAGAGTTTTTTTTTTAGAGAAAAAAACCGTTTAATTAAGTCTTGATCAACATTAAGTCCCTTACTGGTTTAGAAACAGGTTAAAAAAAATGAATATAATGATTCAAACATGTAATAAAGTAGAAATTAATTTTAATGTCTATTAAACATGTCCAGAAACAAAACCTAACTGGACATGTATAAATCTAGCTGGTATTAATATTAAGAAGTGAAACTCTCGTATGAATCAATCTTCTGAAAATAGACTCCAACTCTATCTCAAGCTCCTCCACAGCAATCTCCGCCGCTTCCAACCTCGTGGCTGCGCTCTGAACCGCCGTCTCGTCCCATATATCCTCTAACCAACACGAAGATCGAGTAGTAAAGATCGAAGACAAAGTCCCTTTGCTCGATCTCTTCTCTAGCCAAGGAATACAACCAAGAGAGAACAAAGACTCAACCATCGTCACAACAGCTCTTCTCACTTCCTCCAAAACCTCCGTTACAAACAAAAGGTTAAGCTCTATCGGCATAACGTCCCTTCCTCCTCCGTTTCCCTTCATGCTCTTTAGACAGTTTAAGCATTTCATTATCTCCTTCTTGAGCCTGTTCTTGTATTGATTATACGCTGCGATCTTCTCGTTCACATCTGTTGACTCGTTTCCACGTAGAGTAAGTTGTAGATCGTGCAAGCTGTGCTTCACTAGCGTCATCACATCTTTAGATGCGCTACAGATGTCTAACATTCTCAATGAAGCTTCTGAAACTTGTTCTGTCCACTTCTCTTGTCCTTGTTGAGACAGAGATTCTCTTGTTTTTGGACAGTGGTCAAGGAGATAGTTTGCGCAGTCGTGTAGCTCTCTTAATCCCTCGAAGTTAATCTGAGCCATAACGATCTTATAACGTTTTCGAAATATTTAGCTAGGAGTATAACAAAATGGATTTAAACTGTAGTATTAGAGATGTGTTGAATGTATGTAGAGAGGGAGAGTTATATAGAGTAGAGGTTGAGAGCATCTTTAACCCTTGTTGCTTAGAGAGTTGCTTAGGGGGAGAGGGGTGCTTATTTTGAAGAGAGAGAGTGTGAAAATTGCTTAATTAAGCAATTTTCACACTCTCTCTCTTCAAAATAAGCATCCTCTTCCCATAAGCAACTCTCTAAGCAACAAGGGTTAAAGATGCTCTGAGGGATCTGAAGGAAAGTACAACGAAGGGTCCTTGTGTACGGACGTGGGACATCTAGGGAACAGCTCATTTTGGAGGTATTATCAGAATAATTATTTAAATTATTCGAAATATGTCTCAATGAACCTTCTATATACGTAAGACACTCGTGGGTTAGGATACATTGTGGATTTGTTTGGATATTCTATTGTATAATATATAGTTTTAGATAATTTATTCTATTGTTTATAAGTTTTAAGTATATGGCATGCATGCACGAGAGACGGTGCCAGGCTGTGTCGGTAAATTTCAACAGTTTGGAATTTATGACTCTAAATAAAATGGAACGAGAATTATTTCAATCTCAAATCATCAGTTTTATATTACTTGTCAGAGGTTTTGATGTATCAAACTTTTTTTTTTATGGTGAATTTAACAGTAGAAACTTTTTTTTTCTTTGTGTGTTGTCACTCGACATATTTATTATCAATGGTTAACTTGAAACTACAAAGAAATACAGATCATTAATTTCGCAAAAAAAATACAGATCATTATTTTCGCAAAAAAAAATACAGATCATTTTAGATCTTTATAAATCAAAAAGTACAATAAAACTATACATTATAAATCTTTTTCCTTAGGTAAAAAATTCAAACAGTATAATAAAACTATATATTATAAATCTTTTTCTTTAGGAAAAAAAAATATTTATTAATATTTTGCTAACACTTCCTACTAAAAACGATGAACTTTTTGGCTTCTGTAACAAACATTCAACTACCTCCACTGCTCAACCTATGCATGCATACTACTGCTAGATTAGATTTTGTGATTATTAAGATCGTTATATCTCAGGTTAGTTTCAACAAATGAATCTCTTCTCAAATTAATCTCAAATATATATAATTGGACTCTTATATCTCCAAATGCATTAAGTTTATTCTGCTGTTAGTGGGAAAATCTTATTATTCGATTTTCTCATTTGAAAAGTACTACACGAATAATCAATCAATCATGCCTTATATAATTTTTGTTGCCAGCATCATGCATAGACATTATTAAGCAGTTTCTTAATATCTCAAGGGATTCTTGAAAATGTGCACAAAAAAAAAAAAAAGGGATTCTTGAAAATAAGAAACAAAATAATATAATAATTTAGAAAACAAGATTAATAAGTTGTATAAGATATTTTGCATGAGTTTGTTAAAATTTTGAAATACACATATATAATTTATTATTTTGGTGAATTTCATTGAGGTATCGTTCTCAAGACAACCCATCAAATATAACACCAATTAATCCCATTAATCTTAATGTAAAAGCACATTATTGCAAACTCATACCAGCTCTGTTTAGCAATATTTGCGGTGGAGACAGTGAGTGATGTGCTTCATTGTTCAAGCTTGTGATTGTATAATCTAATGTAATATGCACAAGAACTGAAATTTCTAGGAAAGTTACATAGTTTCAGTTTCAAAGAGTAAGCATGTTAAGAAGAGAAACTCTCGTCTTCAACAGTTTCTTATACACACACTCCAACTCTCCTTCTGTTGCTTCAATCATTATCTCTGTTTCTCTCAGCTTCTTCAGCTCACCTCCTTCAACTTCTTGATTCTTCTTGTTAAACATCCTTGACATGATTCCTCTACAACCACTTCTTGATATCTGCTTATGATTTGCCGTCACCACTTCCATCAACAAAGAAACAAGAACATCGAAACTCGTCTCCTTAACTTTCTTCATCACATTAATGGCACCTCCACAATCTTTCTTCTTCTTGTTTTTATTCTTCATCTTCAACTGCTTACCGATCTTTCTGCTCAAGACTCTTCTCTTAAACACGTATGCATCGATCTCACGTGTCAAGAAAGCCTCTTGATCTCCTCCTAATCTGCTTCTGATCACTCTCCTCCTCAAGCTCGACTCAAGTTCTCTGACCTGCTCTTTAATCTCCATCAAAACGTCTCTGATCGTGCCACAGATATCAAGAACCTCGAGAAACCCGTCGGAGACATCTTCTAGAAATGCTTTTTGAGTTTTTGACGATTGAAGACGTAGGAAAACTTCAACCACCTCGTACATATTCTTTAAAACTACGAGTTTCCGACAAGCAGACTCTGGACTTTTCTTCAGTATCAGGAGATGATCTTCGATGGATCGAGACAGAGGATGAACGTTTTCGGGCCAGCTTGTTGAACGCACGTGTGCACCATATGATGATGATGATGATGTAGCCATTGGATGGAGAAATTAATGTATAAGTCAAAAAAGGCTCCTTGTTTCATTAATACTCTCACCAATATATATGTATGCATCTCTATGCATATGCATGCACGTAGAGGCCAATCATTACACGATTAGATACAGGCTGGAACTGGCTGTTGCGGTTTAGTTTCTTCCGACAGTCAAACGACAAATCCATACTTTCTATTTATTATATGAACTTCGTTTTTTTCAACCTTGTACACATAGGATTAATGAAGGCGGTAAATCAATGTAAATATATAAATGTTTTCAGCAAGCGAATCACTGATAAAGCAATCAAGCAGAAGCTCAAGTGACAAAGTTCAAAAGCTATACATAATGACATCCAACCAGGACGGTAGGAAACTTTCGATTTAGCTCCCAAATTTTATAGAGCTAATAATGTATGTCGCATGACCCCCGAATTATATTTTTTTTATAAAGATTAACCTAAAGTTATTTATGACCTCCTATATAATCCCTCCGTTTCATAATATATGATGTTTTTTCTTATTACACACGAATTAAAGATTTTTTTTTTTTTTTTTTAAAAAAGTTATAATCTAAAATCATTCAATCAATTATAAAAATATCATAAAATCTAATTGGTTAAACAGTTTATAATATAAAATTAATTTTAAAATTTCAAAAGATCTTATATTTTGAAACAATATAAACCTTCTAAAATATCATATCATTTGAAATGAAAGGAGTATTAGATCCGACCATGTATCCAATTTAGGGTAAAAATATCTAACTCAAGGGAGTGTTATATCCTTGACATCATGATGATCACTCTATTCTTAATGTTGATCAATGTATAAGTTTAATCCCAAATATAACAAATCTTGAGCCAACATAAAAATACACACGCACACAAATAGTTTGCAAATGTCAGTTTTTAGTTAGTAGACAGCTTATATCTGCGGCAACAACCTCAGCTAGGCTGCGTAGATATGAAATCTACAAGAAAGAGTAACCGAATTGGCTGCGACGTCTTTTTCCAAGGCCTAGCAACTTTTATATAAATATTACATCCTTAGAGATTCCATTATCTCAATAAACGTCCAAATCCAATTGTATATGAATATAGACACGCATACATGTAATATTATATTTGTATCAGTTAAAGAAAACTGGGATTGTGCACGAACGGAATGGAGGAGACTTCTTGAAGCAAAACCATCAACGAGAAGTTGAGACCATCTTTGTGACAGCCTGGATGTCTTTCTTTCGTTAACTTATCAAGCACCTAACTGTTGTTGTCTTCATGTGTTCTCTTTATAAAAGATTACTTAAAAGGTCATACTTGTATATATAATAGTTGTCAGTTACTTATGGAAACAAACATGAGCATAAAATACAACATTGTATGTTTCCAATGCCCATGCACAAGTTTTATTTAATTTAGCCCGATCTGACCAACCGATTTTAGTTAGCCTCATTGATATTCCACTTATTATCCACATATCAACTTTATGCTACGCCTGCTTTAAAGTGTTGTATATATTCACCAATCACCATTGATAGATATTACTATATTTTACAAACTGGAGGCTTTATAAAATATAAAATATACTAATCTAATAAGTTTTAAATTTTACCAACAAAAAAAAAAGTAGATGGCATGGTATGTACTTCCTTACAATTACACACTCTAATTGAAACCCAACTTAACCAGGCACTGAGAAAGAGTAATGGGCCCAAAAGAAACCCAATTAAACCAGGCGCAGAGAAAGAGAGATGGCCCATCCGGCCCATTATTCTGAATTGGGACGCAGACCTAAAACAAGACTGTATATGGTAATGAAAAGATTCCAACATGAGACAAAAACTGAGCCTTGGGGAAAAAGCAACCTCCACATGATGATCTATCCATCTTCTTGTTCATGTCTTCATCATCAAACTTGATAACTTTTTTGTGATTAGTAGCCTTCTTGTGCGGATTAAAGGTAGCAACAAAAAGCCAGTCATCAAACGACGACGTATCTTTGCTTGACTTACGCTTCTTTCTTTTCTCTGGTTCAGAATCTGAAGTCTTCTTCTTGACTTCCCTTGTCCTCTTTTTACTGTTCTGATCAGACAAGTAGTCATCATGTTCTTCTGTCAAACAACTCTTGTCAAGTTCATCTGAGACTTGCTTGCTTTCCAAGTCTCCTTCCTCCTGCTTCTTCTCTTCCCATTGTACGTTTCCAGAAACGACTATTTGTCTTTCCATCTTCGATTTCGACATGATTGAATCGACTCTAGGTTTTCAGATCACGCCGAAGACGCCTTACGTGGTTCGAAACTTGAATCGAAATATCAAAGCGAGAGATGATGAAAAGAAGCCCTAATAAAGGAAATTATCAACGAGTGTGTTGTTTTGTTGATGAGAGAGAGAGTAAAGGTGAGACTGAGACTTGAGGGTTACGTTCTCTATTTAAAGACACCTGAGATATCTGCCGACATTTAGGGCAAAATCTGATTAATAATTTCATTATGTATTGGGCTAAATCTCTACTTAACAAATTGCTATTGGGCTATTAATGGGCCTACTTATACATATGGTTCTATTTTTAAGCGCCATTATTTAGGGAAGGCTTACAACGACATGCGAGGTATTGTTAAAACCCTTGTAGGAACTGCGTGTTGTTCTATGCTCAAACATGGTTTTTTTTGTGTCAACCTCATACATGGGTTACATACTTACATTTCTGCCAAGCGTGAAATGAACCGTTAATTGATATTTCAAAAGTAAAATAAAGTTGTTGAATTTTTTTTTTTTTGTTACACATGAATTTCAATTGGCAATGTATTTTGTTTTTTCCTGTCCAATAATGAGCTACACCGTTTGTGTTTTTGGCTTTTTCCTGATGAAGTGACATAATGAAATATGATTATAGCCATATTATTCCATTTATAAATAAAACAATATTGTGACGCGGATTATAAACACTCTACAATATTTACATGTTACGATCATACCCATACAACGACAACATTCTTGAAATATGAATGTGTAAGGTGAAAAATTTAAAACAACTGAAGTTGCAGCGACATAAAAATAACATTTGACTATAAAAACATGTAGCATTTTGATATAAACGAGAACCAACTGTATACAGATTGACAAAACCATAATTTTGTAAACCAAAATATGATATATACTATACTGCGACACGAGTTACATCCAAGTGCGATGTAAAATTTCAAACAATGAGAACATTCTCGAAAATTGAGATATGAGTTTGTGACATTAATTATAGAAAGATCGATCATTCGATTATAAAAACGTTCACCACATGCTATAAAAGGATAAAACCTAACATTTTAAACTAAACCAACTATATACGTATTGACAAAAATTTAACCAACTATATACATAATTGATGTATAACAAATAGTGGCCAATAATTAGTTAAGATATTAGAAGTCTTTAATTATTGATTAGGAACATGTAAAGTTCATGTTCTAATTATTCTCTTCTATAAGTAGTGCTATTAACTTTTAAGTGGTCCTAAATTAATCAAACACTAATCATTCATTCATGACCAATATCCTTTTCCTATCTGTGTTATCTTCTTTGTTGGGAGTTGAGTTGAACTCATGACAGTATTCGAGTTGTCAACTTTTTTGCATCGTTGTAGTTTTTATTCCAAACTAAGTAAAGCATTTATCAAACAAAAATAATTCACGCAAGTTGCAGTTCAAAGCAACCAACTCAATTATAGCTTATATAGTTAACCAGATATAGTATTAGTCCGGTTATTAGATTCGTAGAGGTCTAACCGGTCATGACAACCAACACGTACCGCCGCTAAATGAGGAACTAGATTAGCCCATAAATTGTTATCTTAATAGCACTAAACAGTCTAAACTACGGTATGTTTTCCAGCAAGCTCCACGTTTAATACCGTGTTTATCAAATAATTAAGTGCCAATCCGAATCAGATCAAGGTGATAATTGAAAAGCATCTCCCTAACAAACCATGTGGTGGCTTCATGGGGTTTTGCTAATTAAGACTTTAAGAGAGGCGACAAAATATTAGAACGAATATCCATCAACGTGAAAATATTACAAGTTATGTCTTCTTATGTCCTTTAATTTTATTTTCTCTCAATTATTTCCGGCAAATATATGTGTCAAGTGAGTCAGTTCATGCACGCTGTTTGTGTACTAATGTTTGATGTTTTGTTGCCTGCCAAATAAATGATAATGCATGGCCATGGCATGGCCATGGGCTGGTGGTTTGTGAAAGCAAGTGGACCTTGGTTCTTAACGCGTAACCATTTATTCCAAATTTTATTTTTGGTTTGTACAAAAACATTATAATAGTCATCAAATTAATTTATTAGAACCAATAAAATCCCAGATCTATATACGCTGCTTGCCCAAACCAAGGACTTAAATTTTGATTTATATTTTTAATTTTGAGCTCTATAACATAAAAACAACAAAATTGTAAAATATATTTTTTGTAACTGAACAAAATTGTAAAATATATTTTTTGTAACTGAACAAAATTGTAAAATATGAGATGGTTTAACTAAAAAATCACTAATTTATATACCATACAATATGAGATTTATGTGCTAGAAAATGTTATTTATTATCAACTATGACAATTAATAGATAAAATTTGTTAATATATTTTAAGCATTATGTAAGCTGTTATCTATAAAATGGATAGTTGTGATGCAAAATAAATAAATAAATATAATAAAATGTAAATTTATCAATTGTATAATTGTCTGTATAGTATTTATCGTATTTGTATAAAACAATCAAATTTACTATTGATATATATGAGATGTAATTTTGATACCTTTTTATTTTTCTATTTTCATTAAAGTATTTAACTCATACAAATAATAAAAAAATGGGACAAAAAAACGCAAAATAAAAACTGAAATTCCGAAGAAAAACGGAATGAGAGATTACGAGAGTGAATAACTGTTAATGTGTTAGGGCATTAAGCAACGATACACGAGTACTAATCAAACCCCTAAACACTTTCTCACTCCCACATTCAATCTCAACGATCGAATTCTCCAACTCCACCATCTTCTTCGTTAGAATCTTCACTTCTTCGTTCTTCTTCTTGCTCAACCCAACCAAACTCTTCTCCTCAACTTGCTTCATCTCCTCGATCCCTTCACCGCTCTTGTCTCTCTTCTCTGACCTCTTAAGAAACCCAACAAACGTCGTCGTTTTACTCGAACGTAGAGATAAATAAACACCGTTGAAAACCGCCACGGACACCAAAACAGTCACCTCGATGACGTCACCAATAACCGACGCCAGCTCAGCCTCACCGTAAGAGCCGTTCAAAACGTCCACGTGGCAGTGGTTGTACTTCGTCTTCGGCTCTCGGATAGATGACGTCAGCTTGGCTATCTCTCGCGCTAGAGAGCGGCGAGATTTTAGGTATGAGGAGATTTTGACGTCGTCTTTTCGCCGGAGAGCGACCTGAGCGGCGGACTGGTGCTCACGGAGGGAGAGGAGAGACGTGCGGAAGAGGCCGTAGGCGTCGACGAAGCGGAGAAGGTCTTCGAGGAGATTCTCGAAGAAGACGGGACGGTTGCGGAGAGACTCTTGTGACTGAGGGAGGTGGAGGATGTCGGAGAGGGTTTCTTGGACGTCTTTGAGGAGGCTGAGACCGTCGGTGATCCATGCGGTGGTGTGGCGGTCTAAGGAGGACCAGGATTTGATTTGGGAGATCTCGTGGTTGATGTGGGAGATTAGAGGGTGTGATCTGCATGGGAGGCTGATGGATCTTGTGTGGTGAGAGACACGTGGATTTGATGGTTGTGATGGACGGACGGTTGGTTTGTTAGGGAAAGAGAGTGATCGTCGGAAAACTCCAACCATGTTGAGGAGGAGGAGAGAGGCTGAGAGAGAGAGATGGTTTTGAATGTGTTTTGAAATGGTGAGAGAATGAGGAAGGAGCGTTTTGTTTATATATACACATTTGAAAGAGGGTAATGTGTATGGGCCCATGTCAACCAAGTTTGAGATGATGTGCACGTGGGAGAGTTCTCTACCTTTTTTCTTTTGTAGAATAATTGCTTTTGTTATTTTCCCAACTATATACATTAGTATAGTAACCACTAACCACCATCTTGTAAAAATGTCTTGAGAAAAACGAGATTAAATGAAGTTAATTCTCACAGTGAATGTGTTAAAATGTTATTGACATCATTTGTTTCTAGTGAGGTTGTGCAAGGGAAACCAATTTTGCTAGCTGCCTTTACATTAAGAGTTCATTAAGATAATCCAATTTCTCATAGGATTGGATTATAGGAAGAAGGTGGTTAAATTCGGCATTTGACCATTTAAGTACAACATGAACTCGTGTGTATCTTCTGTTGTTACCAACCATATCTCTTCTGAATCTTTAATCAACCTGAAAATCCTCAGTTATTTTTGGTTATGTGACTTCGACATGATCCACCTTAATCTTTAAACAACCTTAAGAAGTTCGTTCCTACCGTTGACATCATCCTAGCCTCTTTGGACTTAACTAGCTCCATCTTAGAAAACTGTCTGTTTAACATCATGCATCACTATACAGCCGTCATAAATCCATAACAGAGGGCTTCAAAGACTCTACTAACATCTTTTTTATTTCTGATAAATTATTATACCGCATCAAAATAGCAATTCTAGAGGATAATACTTTCCATTTTATTCTTACGCAAATTATGCAACAATTAGACGTTTTATATTTAACTGGACGTATGTTAGATCAACACCTGGCTTACTGGCTAACATTTAACATTTTACTAAGCACTTCATATTCTTAAGTAAGGCCAAACTCATGTTATGTCAATCAATAGATAGATTCGAAGGTAATTGTTATCTAGTGTGTGTATCAACTCAAGTATGTTTAACTAATAAGGTGAATAGTGGATTAATATAATCAGATTTAACGAGTTAATAGACATAACATATGTTCCATTTCAAGCGGAGAGGGGACACACGTGGGTTAGCCACCCCAGCTAAACCTTCAATCCAAAACTGCGCTCACTTTTCTAATAAAATGGAGTAATCACTATTCTATTGATTAATGATCACATAAACTTTTATATAATAAACATACTTGAGTTGAGTCTCCCGTAAACTAATTTGGTAGGAGCAGAGACGCGTTAAGCCAGATTTTTTTCTCACATGGTTTATGAATGATCATCAACACGAATCGAACAATTTAAAAATATAGAGGTCTAAGTTTAGTGAAGGTTTATTTTATACATTCGGCTAAGGGCCTGTTTGTTTCACCATCCAGATGACTCATCTGGATGGAGATGAGAGTTTTGTTTGTTTA